ACACACACACACACACACACACACACACACGTACATGCACACACTCAAACAGCACTCTATTACATCTCTAAATGGTAAATGGCTTGAACTTAAATAGCATTTTATCAAGTCCACATGGACCCCAAAGCTCTTTACACTTCAGACTTTCACCCATTCACACACTGATGGTGGTAAGCTACAGCCACAGCAGAGGCGGGGCTCTGCCACTCTGCCACAGCTTCCCTCAATTATTATTAGTAATTTAATTAATTAATGAATTTAATAATTATGCTATTTTGTTCTTGTTTTTATTTTGTTTTTGGTTTTCTTTTCTTGAATATGGAGATTGTTCAAGTTTGACATGTTTGTTTGAAGTTGTTTTTTCAACAAGGGGCAGATATTAAAATACTTTTTCTTCTTTCTGTACCCTTTTCAATCAAACATCGGATTTACTTTGTTTTTTTATGGACTTTTCGTTGTTTCTTATCAATGAAATAAATAGATAAAGAAATAAATTTAAAAAATAACTTTTGGGCACCATCTTGTGAAGAAGCTTTGGTCCAAATTTGAGGACAAAATTGCCAAAATTAAATTGTCATTTGTCAATACGTCCTTTCAAATTTCCAACCTCTTTTGTTTTACATGATGGTGTTATGACTTTTTTTTGTTTATACTAGGCCAATGTACCTATGTACCAACTTTCACGTGTATTGACACTCCCACATTTGGAATTTTGCGCCTTCCATATTAACGCTAGTTCTACTGTGACGGCCCTACTGCGCCCCATGCTTAACACTGATTAGGCTGGCAGGTGCCTTCTATCAGGTGTGCTTCCTTTTAAGGTCCTGAAGGGGAGGAGCCGAGGAGGTTGGAGTTTGTCTTAAGGAGCGTCTGGGCTGAAGACGGGAGTTTAGATATCAGTCCAATAGTTCCATTACCAATAATACCACCCTGGATTCTACCAGATGCAATCGTTGATATGACACTCATGGACAGGAAAAAAGATAGAAGATTCATTTTTAATTCATACACGGTACAGGATTATATCAATAACTATCATAATTATGTGCAAATATACACAGATGCATCAAAAACAACAGAAAAAGTAGGAGTGGCATATGTAATACCGGAATTCAAAATAGAAATAAAGAAAAGAAGCACAGATCAAGTATCAGTATACACAGGGGAAATGTTGGCAGTGTTGTTGGCAGTGCAGTGGGTAGAAGAGACAAGACCATTAAAAACAATCATCTGTTCAGATTCAAGCTCAACACTTATAAGTTTGCAGAACAGTCAATCAGACAGCCGACCAGACATTTTGTTCGAAATATTACAAACACTATTCAGAATACAAATGATGGGACTAACAGTAAACCTTTTATGGATACCAGCACACATAGGAGTCAGAGGGAATGAAGCAGCAGACAGAGCAGCAAAACAAGCAACAAATGATCAAATTAGCTTCACAATATCAATAAGTAAATCAGAAGTAAGATCTATTGTCAAACAAAAACTGAAGGAGCAATGGCAAAAACACTGGGAAGAAGATAACAAAGCAAGATGGTTTTATAGGATTCAAAGACAAGTGGGAGATATYAGAACAGGAGGAAAAAACAGAAAAGAAGAAAGATTAATAAGTAGACTTAGATTTGGACACACAGCATTGAAACAATATGTTATACAAAGTCCAAAAACATGATACAGGTCAATGTGAACACTGTGGGCAAGAAGAAACCTTAGAACATGTCATTTTAGTCTGCAGGGAATACAAACAACACAGAAGATGGATGATAGAAGAATTAAGAAAAATCAAAGAAACATTTAATATAATGAACATATTACAAAAAGAAACCAGAAGTAAAAGTATACAAATTGTTTTAAGTTATTTTAGAAAAACAAAATTAGAAAAAAGAATATAAGCAACATAAAATAAAATTATTTTGATCCACACTCCATATCAGTAGGTGGCGGTAATGCACATCTTCTGTTGATTGCCAACCGCCATAAAACAATACACAAAAAGAAGAAGAAGAAGACGGGAGTTGTCTCTGCAGCYCTGGAGCAACATGCTGCACTGAGGAGACGAGAGGTCTGGTGGCTGCAGCAGGTTTGAGGTCTGCAGAGCGAGGAGAGGTGTCGGGACTGGCCGAGCTGCTGTGTTGGAGTTCTGCTGGAGCTGCTAAGCGGTGTTGCTGAAGTCCTGCCTCCTTCTGTTGTTGCTGCTGCTGATTAGCTGGATGGCTAATGTTTGACTGGTTCTGGAGCTCTGAAGCGAGAAAGGATTGGAGCTGACCGACTACAGCTGTGTGGGGCATTGTGCGTCAGAAGACGGCGTCATGAAGGCAGACTGATGGCGGCCCATCCTTCTTCCTCCAATCCAGCACCGTGTTTCAATGTTGGTGAGCGTAAACAAAGACTTCACTAATCGGTTGAACTTTCCAGTGACATGCTTGGAGCATCGCTGTGGAGCCGAGTGAAGAAAAGACTGAGGACACAGGCAGAGTTGTGGTGGCGGTCCAGCCCGAGGCGGGACCAAACTGGGAGCTCAAGGTTCTGGAGGTCCAGTTGGTGAGGAGCACAGTTGGGTGCTGGTTGACACCAGCAAGACTGGTAAAACAAACATTCAAACTCCTAGACAAAAGACTGAAAAGAACGATAAAAAGCCTAAAACCATTTTCTCTTGTGTCGTGTTCTCAATTATGTTGCGGGCAGTGAGCCGGCCGTAATATTATATACATTCCTGGTCAAATTTCAACACTAGTTGAAAAATGGCAAAAGTTCATATTTTGCTCTGTTGGATTGTAAGAAGGCTCTAAGTAGAGTTCTGATATGCAAAAAGAAGAAATGGCAGCGAGACAAAAAAGACATTTGAGTAAGCTTTTTTTTTTTTCAAATGTATTAAATTGAAATAAGCTGGTCATCAACTGAGCAAAAGCTTAAGATCACATCTCCAAAAATTCCAAAATCTGTATAAATTTTGAGAAAAAGGAACCAAGATATTCCTGTTGCTAGTGTTTCCAGGAGGCTAGAGGGAATTTTGCTCCAAGTGTTGAAGATGACTTAATCACGAAGGTCGTCCACTGTCTGGAACTGGTTTCCATTTTTGTAAACTTCCCTTGCCATCCATCCATCCAGCCATCCATTATCTATATCCGCTTCTTCCTTTCGGGGTCACAGGGTCACTGGTGCCCATATCCAGCAGTCACAGTGCGAGGGTTGAGGTTCACCCTGGACAGGTCGCAAGTCCATCACAGGGCATCTTCCCTTGCCATCCAAATGTTCCTAATCAGATTTAGATCATTAGAACACAAAGGATGGTCCAAAAGAGTGTTATTAGCCTGCAGTCATTACCACACAGACAATGACCTTCAGTCATGACAGATACCTCCTACAGCTTACCACATAGCTAGCTGCTGTTTGACGCCTCTGCACAATCTGAAGCTCCATTGTTTCACTGAAGGAAAAAAGCCCCCTAGATCATGATGGTGCCCCTCCACCATGTTGTGTAGATTTCCGGATCTCCTTGTCATATCCCAGTAAAGTTGGCAGCCATCGGGAAGAGTCAAGCTAATTTTTTTRCCCATCAGAGAATAAAACTTTCTTCCACCTTTCCCATGTTTGGTGCTCTCATGCAAACTCCAAACGGGCAATTTTGTGCCATTGAAGAAGTCGAGGCCTTTGAAGACGTTTTTTTTTTTTCTTAAAGCCCTGATTTCGTAGATGCCATCTGACGGTTATGGGACTGCATTTGGCACCAGTGATAAACTTAATTTGGGCCGACGATCGTCCCGTGTCTTAACAGACAGCGAATTGGATCCTTCGACTCAGGGCTGGTGAAATTTTTTTGGGTGTACTACTTCACTTTTTTGTTCCATAACCCTCAGGATCTTTAAGAAGTTTAAAATGACTGTCTTACTGTGTCCAACCTCAGCACCAATGGCACGCTGTGAGAGGCCTCGCTTATGCAGCTTAACAATCCGACCGCATTCAAAGAGAGAAACTGCTTGATTCTAATCTCCCTTCTCTGCTCCGTCTGGGCTGTTTCCCATTGACTTGAATTTCTCTGGTAGAATTTCAACCGGGCCAATCATCGAACAGAAGGAGGAGTTTTAAATGACAATGTCGATTTTCTGCATCGTTTTAGTCCACCTGTAGTTTAGCAATGGCAGTGGAGMAAGAGAATGAAGTCATTCAGTCCATGTTGACAAGGCTTCCAAATTATATTAAATTTGTCTTGCAAAGCCTGCAGCACTCTATTACAGCCATGTTGTTCAATTCAGTACTTCTCTCTTCCCAGTAGAGGATGGTTGTTTACAGCGCACGCGATTTCCAGTTAGCTTCTTAGCATAGCTTTGTACACGGTCAAGCTGGCATACTACATATGTCATGGCTAAATGTTACAATTGGGTGAAATCAGATTAGATAATTTAAACTTCAATAGAATCCATGCTTCTAGCAAGCAATTATTTCTCAATAGCAATAGTAGACCCTCTATACAAAGCAAAGTGAAGAACAACGGGCTACGCTTTCTTACTTCCAAGACAAGCTGAGCCCCCTTACACACACAAACACATGAACACACAAATGCACTGTGCTAATTAGCTGTTAATATACAGTATAAACCCCATTAAAAATAGCTAGCATATTGTTAACCTCTCCAGAACACACATGCAGGAAAAAGTAACACAACAAGTAACAGTAACACAAATGCTTAATATTGCAGCAACAAACAACTTACCACGTTGAGCAATGTATTCAACTGTAAATGTAAAAGTTTTGTTTAAAATTTTTGCTTCTTTTAAAGTCACTTCCGGTTTCCAAAAAAGTCCATCAGAACAAAAATGAACAACCTATAAAGCCCCCTAGTGGAATGGAGGGAGTCAATCCAACACCCACCAAAAACTTTTTGGTGATTTTTACATATAAAATATAAATTAAAAATTTCACAACCTCTCAGGCCCCCCAGGGCCCCAAGGTTGGGAAACACTTCATTAGAACATAATAAATARAAATTTCTACCCCACACCCCTGCATAAAAATACACAATAATAGAAAGATCAGACAACTGACATATAATGATGATTAAAATCTAACATAGACTTGACTTCTACTCACCTGGGCATGTAGAGAACTCTCTCAGCCACAACAAATCCCACTCTGAAGAAAAGGTTAGTGGCAGGAATGAAGGGGAAAACCAGGAACAACAGTCCCACCAACACTTCCCTGTTCTCATGCCACTGAATAAAGGACAGACAGACATTTTTACAGCACCACAAAACAGGTTTTATTAAAGCAAGTCAAAATATTTAAGTAGTAACTGCTACAATGATCAAAGCTGAAATTTTAAAGGAGACCAATTATGGGTCCTAGAAATTTTTATGGTATATCTGTGGGCTATCCAGACCATGTTCATTCAATTTAATGCACAAAATAATTCTCAGATAATAAAATTTCCCATTTTCTAGTTCTGCCTGCTCTGACTTCCGTTCAGAAGAGCTGTTTATGTTAATGAGCTCTGTTGGTAACGCCCTCCAAAAATCTGTTGACATTAACTCCGCCCTCCAAAGCCAGCGTTTACGTTAGCATGGCTAATAATAGCAGAATCTCCGTTGTACAACCATATGAGAGACCCAGAGGCAGAGTCGTGGTCGCAGCTTCTTTTTTTTTCTCTCCCTCCTCTGCTCTGCGTTCACTCTGCATGCTGTTACCAGGGCAGGGAGCAGCAGCGGTCAAAATACCTCAGAAATTCAAACAAATAGGCTTTAACAAGGCTTTAATAAGCTAAACAATAGAGGTACATGAGAAAATGTGTTCATAATGAACGAAAATAAATAAATAATTAAATTGTGTCCATGCTGGTCTCAAACCCTGGTCTCCCTCTCTCTGGTCCAACACTACCCATTGCCCTATTGGAAGCTTGTTGTGAAACGAGCTGCGCATTGCACAACAACACGGTGACAGCTTTTTATACTGAGGAGGAGGAGTCTCACCTGGGGGTTTGCTAGGTAAGGGGCTGAACGCAGGTTCCGGTGGGTTGTCGAACATCACAAAATGACATCACAAAATGACGGAAGTGTAAAATGTGTCAATAATATACATTAAAAATACATTTACTTAAAGTAAATATGCCCCTGGGTGCATATTTTTGGTCCTACGACTGTTTTTTAAGAAGTACATACCCAAAGTTGTGTAAAAAAAACTTTAAAAAGTGAATTTTGCTTAATATGTCAATGTATCTTTCTGATTCCGACAACATATACACACATTTATCAATTTGCACTGATATATGTTCAGTGGCAATACAAAACCACYTGACTGCGCATCGACTGTTCGGTTTCTCATGGAGTATGCAGAGGCCCAAAGTGTCTGCTCCAAGAATGAGCATGCCATGTTTGACTGATCTGGGGCTTGTACAACTTCAAGCCGATCTACAGATTTGCAGTAAAGGTTTACAGGACGGTATGGCTGACAGCTCTCTGCTCAGACAATCCAGAACAGACTGCACGCAGCCAATCTCCGGTCTTATCAGGCAACTAGGAGGTCTGTCATGACTGCCCTTCACCATCAGGCCTGTTTATCAGAGACCACCACCAGAATTTGGTGGGGGGAGAGGATGGAATGGCCTGCCAGCATTTATGACTTTCACCCACTGAACATTTAGGCAGGACTATTCAACTAAATTGCTCCAGGGGCCACAGTTACTGCAGGTCAACAGCTACGGGGCCGAACATCCAGCAATTACAGTCATTATGTAATTAAACCAAGTATTCCAACGATCTGCTACCTTTGAAATAGTTTATTTTGCTGCATTTAATCATGAATTTTGCAAATTTGCTTACTAAGTTTAGTTTTGTTATACTTGTATTTTTAGATAAGTGCCCCATCAGTCAGTTATCAGGCAGTTTATTCCAATGAAATATCTGGCAATTTATTCCCATGAAAAAGCCTGTGATTGAGGAGATACTACACAAAACTGATCAAACTTGGTTGGTAATGGATTGCTTTCTTTGAGTAAATGTTCAAACTGTTATTGCCTTGGCCAAGGAGATTATGTTTTTGGTCGCGTTTATCTGTCAGTCTGTCTGTCTGTGAACAAAATTATTCAACAACTTGTGGACGGATTTTCATAAATTTTTCTACCATAGGTGGGTATTGGCCAAAGGAATATACCATTCAATTTTGGTGATGATCCAGATCACGATCCGGATCCAGGAATCTTTTGAAATATTCTTCACTATTGCAGGATAGGGGAAATTGGCCTTGGCCGAGGTTTGTGCTCTCTGAGTGTGTCTAGTTTTATATATTATTATTGTTTATTCCCTTGTATAAACTCTACTTAAAAACCTAATATACAACAAAGAAAATACAGTAAAAACACTTCTCTTACCTGCAATGAGAAGATGAAGTGCATGCTGAGAGCAACCATCACTATTGCCAGCAGCATGGTAGCGACATTTCGCACATCACTGACAGATTCCACCAGGGAAATGCTGCCCACCTGCCAGTCATAACAAAGCATGATGGGGGCCAGCAGCAGCCAGGCATTGAAGGACAGTAGGTATAAGTAGGTTAAAGTCCTGCCAGAAGGGGCCACACATGTAAAGAATGGACAAAATATGGAAGGTGAACAAATATGAATCAGAAGTGGGAAAAAAATCACTAAGCAACTAAATTRATTTCTAACAATGACAGAAAAAGCCTTTTTATCCCATTTTTTAAAAATACATTTAACTCAAGGATCAAAATACAAAACAATCAAGGTTAATTGTTAGGTTACTGTAAAATATTGAATAGAAAAGTGAATCTCATTTATTTCAAAAGGATTAACACCTTAGAAAACACTGAGCTCTCTAGACACCTGTAATGATCTGTCTTGTGTGTCTTGTGTTCTGTCTCCCTCTGGTGTCTATTCTGTGTTCTCACATTCATTCGCCTCAATTTTTGTCTCTCAGTATTTCCCGCCTCATTCTCACACCTCCTCTCCCTGGGCTGCCACCTTATTGTGGTGGAAAGGTTTGTGTTCCAGTGATACTAGGGACTATGTTGTCAGGGTCTTCATGCCCCCCGTAGAGTCACCCAAGGCAAACAGGTCCTAGGTGAGGGATCAAACAAAGTCAGCCCAGAGACCCCTTATGATGAGTGGCAACATTGGACTGAGTGTTCCCTCTCCCGGATGTGGGTCACCAGGCCCCACTCTGGAGCCAGGCCTGGAGGTGGGGCACGCTGGTGAGCAACTGGTGGCCAAGCTTTTACCCATGGAACCCGGCTGGGCACAGCTTGAAGAGGAGATGTGGGCCCCCCTTCCCATTGGCTCACCACCTGTGGGAGGGGCCGTAGGGGTTGGGTGCATTGTGTGAAGGGCAGTAGTCGAAGGCGAAGACCTTGGCAGTCTGATCCTCGGCTACAGAAGCTGGCTCTAGGGATGTGGTATGTCACCTCTCTGGTGGGGAAGGAGCCTGAGCTGGTGTGTGAGGTTGAGAGGTTCCGACTAGATATAGTCGGACTTACCTAGATGCACCGCTCTGGCTCTGAAACCAGTCTCCTCGAGAGGGGTTGGACACTTCACTCTGGAGTTCCCCTTGCCCTTGCTGAGAGGCACAGAGTAGGAGTGGGCATWCTTATTGCCCACCAACTTGGGGCCTATAAGTTGGGGTTCACCCCGGTGAAAGAGAGGGTAGCCTCCCTCTGCCTACGAGTGGGGGAATGGGTCCTGACTGTTGTTTGTGCCTATGCGCCTAACAGCAGTTCAGATTACCCATCCTTTTTGGTGTCCTTGGAGGGGGTACTGGACAGCACTTCTAATGCGGACTCCCTTGTTCTGCTGGGGGACTTCGACGCTCACATGGACAATGACAGTGGAACCTGGAGGGGTGTGGTTGGAAGGACACCCCCCCTCCCCGATCTGAACCTGAGCAATGTTTTATTATTGGACGTCTGTGCTCATCATGGATTCTCCATAACGAACACCTTGCTCAAGCATAAGGGTGTCCATATGTGCTCTTGGCACCTTAGGCCACAGTTTGATGATCGACTTTGTAGTCATTTCATCTGATCTATGGCTGCATGTCTTGGACACTKAGGTGAAGACAGGGGCAGAGCTGTCAAATGACCACTACCTGGTGGTGAGTTAGCTCCATTGGTGGGGGAGGATGCCGGTCAGACCTGGCAGACCCAAACATATACCAAACATTTGATGAGGATCTGCTGGGAACATCTAGCAGAGTCTCCCATAAGACTGAGCTTCAACTCACACCTCCAGGAGAACTTCAAACATGTTCCAGGGGAGGTGGGGGATATTGAGTATGAGTGGGCCATGGTCCATGCCTCCATTGCCGATGTGGCTTACTGGAGCTGTGGCTGCAAAGTTGTCGGTGCCTGTCGTGGTGGCAATACTCGGACCCGCTGGTGGACACCAGTGGTAAGGGATGCTGTCAGGCTGAAGAAGGAGGCCTATTGGGTCTTTTTGGACTGTGGGACTCCAGAAGCAGCTGAAAGGTAACGGCAGTCCAAGCAGATTGCAGCTCGGATGGTCACTGAGGCAAAAACTGGGGGGGTGGGGGGTGGGAGGAGTTCATAGAAGCCATGGAAAAAGACTTCTGTATGGCTTCGAGGCAATTCTGGTCCACCATCTGACATCTCGGGGGGGAAGCAGTTCACCAACAACACTGTTTATGGTGGGAATGGTGCACTGCTGACCTCAACATGGGACGTTGTGGGATTTAAAAAGTGCTATAGAAAAATGATTGCATTGTACACAATACAGTAACTTTTTTGTTTTCCTTTGCACCAGTGAGACTTTGTGAAAGTTTGACACCCACCTGGTGAGCAAATGAGGAGAGAATGAGGCAGGGTTGTCCTGCTCTGAAAATAAAGGCATGGAGCCACCCATCAGCCACAGCCGGAAAGACATGATGATCACCACCTGAAGGGATGAAGGGGTAGGGGATGTTGAAGCAATTCTGCAGTGCTAAGATGAACTATTTAAAGTCTCCACATACTCCATCCGAAGTCGAACAGTCAACACTCGGTCACATGGTTGTTTAGCATTCGTTTTCACACACACCTTTTATAATTTCTGAGACACACAGCGCTTAGCTCCTGGGAAACCCCTCCCGCAGCAGTACACGTCATTGCAAAGGGTTCTTTCCTGATAGAGTCTAAACAAAATTTTAAAAAACCTGATCCGCCGATATTTGTCCAAAAATCTGTCCCAGTTAATGCTCCACACTTTTCTGCAGATGGACTCCTCTGCACAAAATGTCTTTTTTTTTAATCTCCATTCATGAGTTTGTCTGTTTAACAATTTTTATAAATCTCTGCTTCTGCTTCCAGAATGTGACAGTAGCCACATTCTGGAAATGAGTAGGTGAAGCAAAATGCAGTGTTCAAGCACTTTTAGCATAAACAAACTCACCCATGAACTTCAGACCAATCACACAATGCTTTGCACAGAGCACGATGAGAAACTATTCGACCAAGGCCTTACGTTGAGAAGGGAAGGTCCTGTRGGCACTTCAAACCAAATGACGCAATTTCCGTCATTCATCTGCGACAATAAGAGACTATTTCGGCAGTCCGGAGGGAGTATGTAGAGGCCTTTACAGTTTAATGATGTATTAAAAATGACATCATTAGTCATGAGGTGTTTTAATCATGGTAAAAAATTGTGTGTTAATGGTAATAGATTTAAGATAGCATGTTCAAAAACAAATAAGCACAAATTAAGACCTTTTATAAGTTAGGTAAAATACAAAATAGTAAAACCTATCAAACTAAATACAATAAAATCAAACTGACAATGAAAGAAATAAAAATAAAAAACAAGCTAAAGCTAGAATTGCAAGCCAATATGACAGGTTCCAAACCTCACAATGAATGTTTCTCATCCCCCACAAAAGAAACACCAGGAGGGTCTCGTCAAACCTTGTAGTAGCTTATGAATGCTAATTGTTAGCATGTCGATTCTGCAGTTGCTGTGCAGTCAGAGTTGATTAAAGAATTATCTGACATGCTTGTTTAGTTCAATGTTTATATCTGAACCTGCCTCTGACCGGATGCTCTGGTGCAGCACTTTACTTTTTGAACAAAGCTTTGTGTTTAAACCAAAGTATTGATCAAGTAYCTTTAGCATTGAAGCAATCCGCAACTGCTCAATATTACTATAGTGATTTTTTTTGTGGATTATCAGGTTCGCGACCAACACTATTTATGGTGGGAATGGTGCACTGCTGATCTCCTCGGGACGTTGTGGGTCGGWGGGCAGAATATTTCGAAGACCTCCTCAATCCCACTGACACGTCTTCCCATGATGAAGAAGAGCCTGAGGACCCTGGGTCAGACTCTCCAATCTCTGGTGATGAGGTCACCGAGGTGGTTAAAAAGCTCCTCTGTGGCAGGGCACCGGGGGTGGATGACATTTGCCAGGAGTTCCTTAAGGCTCTATATGTTGTGGAGTTGCGTTGGTTGACACAACTCTACAATATTGAGTGGACATCGGGTGCAGTTCCCCTGGATTGGCAGACCAGGGTGGTAGTCCCCCAATTTAAAAAGGGGGGACCGCAGAGTATGTTCCAACTATGGGGGATCAAACTTCTAAGTCTCCCTGGTAAGGTCCATTCAGGGGTCCTGGAGAGGAGGGTTCATTGGATTGTTGAAACTCGGATTCAGGAAGAGCAATGTGGTTTTTGTCCTGGTTGTGGAACACTGGACCAGCTCTACACCCTCAGCAGGGTCCTGGAGGCATGGGAGTTTGCCCAACCAGTCTACATGTTTTTTGTGGACTTGGAAAAGGCATTTAACAGTGTCCCTCAGGGACTCCTTTTTAGGGTACTCTGGGAGTATGAGGTACCAAGCCCTTTGATACGGGCTGTTAATTATGCCACTTTTCCACTAGTGCCACTAGTGTGGTGTCGATACGGTCAGTGTCGGAACGGGTCAGTTCGGATGCTTTTCCATTGACATTCCAGTCTGGTTCCAGTGGGTGTTTTGGCCAGTTGGTGGAAGTGGTTTTTGGGTTTTTCGAAAAAAGTTAATGCGAAAAATGAGGGACAGAAACACGTTTGCCGAATAAGTTCTGAAATTTTAAAAAATCGCTAAAAATTCTAATTAAAATTGGATGGAAACACGACTAATGTCGCTGCTACAATTGAAAAAATGGCACCTTGAGTTGTTGTAAAGGCAGCTCAGACGCAACCAGTGAATCCACCCACTGGGCAATCAGTGATGAACAGAGTTCTGATGTCGCATTTTGGTGTCGACTGGGACCGTTTGGAACCACAATGAAGTAGGCACTAAAAAAGGTCTGGTTGCATGAAGTTGGCCTAATGGAAATGGCTTCGAACCATACCGACACTACACTAAGTGGCACTAGTGAAAAGGGGGCATTAGGTCCCTGTACGACTGGTGGCAGAGTTTGGTCTGAACTGCTGGTAGTAAGTTGGACTCGTTTCCAGTGAGAGTTGGACTCTGCCAAGGTTTCACTTTGTCACTGATTCCGTTCATAACTCATATGGACAGAATTTCTAGGCACAGGTGAGGTGTTGAGGAGATCCGTTTTGGTGACCTCAGGATTGCATCTCTGCTTTTTGCGGATGATGTGGTCCTATTGGCTTCATCAGATCGTGATCTCCAGCTCTCACTGGAGTGGTTCGCAACCGAGTGTGAAGTGGCCAGGATGAGTATCAGTGCCTCCAAATCCGAGACCATGGTCTTAAGCCAGAAACGGGTGCCTTCTCCGGGTCAGGAAGGAGGTCCTGCCCTAAGTGGAAGAGTTTAAGTATCTTGGGGTCTTTTTCACAAATGAGGGAAGAATGGAGCCAGAGATGGATAGGCGGATTGGTGCTGCATCTGCAGTGATGCGGGTGCTGTACCGAACTGTTGTGGTGAAGCGAGAGCTGAGCCTAAAGGCAAAGCTTTTGATTTACCAGTCGGTTTTCGTTCCTACCCTCATCTATGGTCACGAGCTTTGGGTAGTGACCGAAAGAACAAGATTGCGAATACAAGCAGTCAAAATGAGTTTCCTTCTCAGGGTGTCTGTGCTCTCCCTTAGAGATAGAGTGAAAAGCTCAGTCATCTGAGAGGGACTTAGAGTAGAGTCGCTGCTCCTCCATGTCGAGAGGAGCCAGTTGAGGTGGCTCGAGCATCTGGTTAGGATTGATTTGATTTATTTATTTAACAGGAAAAGATTATTAAAAATCAAGCCCGACTCAGCATAATTGCTGTTTTACAGCAGGTTCCTGTTCTGCAGCACATAAAACACTCAGAATTACAGCATCACAATCATATCATTATTATTACACCATAGACACGAAGACAAACAAGCATACCAAATTTCAAAAAGGCAGCATTTGCAAAATTGGACATCTAAATATGACCACAACAAAAAGTGTCCAGCAGATGGCAGACAAGATTCTTCTTAAAGGGCTGTAGTTTTTAAATGGACTTTATGATTTGAGGAATGTCATTCCATGCTTTAGTATAAACATAGAAGAAAGACCTCTGGCCGTAACAGTTTTTAAAAGTTGGTAATATCAGTTGTCCTTTTGTAACAGATCTAGTTGAATGACCACTTCCAGAATTTGATTTGGGCAACAATGCACAGAGAGTTCCATAATTGGCACCTTGGAAGATCTGAAAATATAAATTAATACCACTATACAAAACATAATTCTGAAAAGTCAAAGCATCAGACAATGAAAGAACTGTACAGTGATGAGTCCAACCAGGAAGTTTTTTATGAATTTTGTAGGCCCTGCTGTAGAGCCTAACTATGGGTTCTAAGATTTCATTTGTTGTAAGAGACCAAACAGGTAAACAGTACGACATGGTTGAGAGTATAATGGCATGAAGATAGACATTTGAAACAGAAGATGTCAGATTGGATCTAATTTTTGAATAAATGTATAATTTCTGTTTCAACTTAGTGGTTGAGACTTGTACATGATCACGATGAGTTAAATGAGAATCCAAAGTAATTCCAAGATATTTGTAGGTAGTGACAATATCAAGGGGTTTGTTTAAAAAAGTGTTGATTTGTTATATTGAAATGTCTCCTAGGTGAGGAAAAATACATGCACAGTTTTTTTAACATTAATTGACAAAAGGTTATCTTGAAGCCAACCATGAAATGTAAAGGATGCCTCCTGGATGCCTCCCTGGTGAGGTGTTCCGGGCATGTGTCACTGGGAGGAGACCCAGAGGAAGACCCAGAACATGCACATGCGCTATGATGCAGTTTACTTGGCATTTGGCATCCTCAAAGGTATTTTGAATCTGAAAAGAGCTTCACTGAGTGAGTAGTGTTAGAGCTCAGCAGACAGTTTCACTTTCACTTTCAGTTTCACTCGTTGTTTGCTTTGTTACTGCCGAGAGCCTGCAGGAAGTCATGGGCGGGATGTGTGGGGTCGGGGGGTGGGGCGGTGTGCTCCGTGATAAGGAAGCTCGGCTTGGAGACACATCCCAGAGGAGAAYCTTGTCCCAAAAGGACACAACCCAGAGGCGTTTCTGGTCCCTACCTGTCGTTTTGCTCCTCAGCATGGCTGCCTAAAAACGCTTCAGGGTTTCTCAAACATGCATGAATGAGTCAAAGCAAGGCTTTGGGCATGTTATAACATCATATAAAACTCAAAAAAGTTGATTTTACATGATATTGCCTCTTTAAAAAAAATGACTCCAGAAGCTGACTGTTGTAGGCTACCTGAAAGCAGACATTTATAAAGAGAATCAAACCATCAAAAATTCATGGATGGAGATAAAACAGACGTTGTGCACAAAGAAATCTGTCTGATAAAACCTGTGGTGCCTTAACCGCGACAGATTTGTGCACAAATAACGTCAGGTGATGGGTCTCAGACTTTTTTCCCCATATTGTAGACTCCAGTGGGAAGAAACACCATGCAGTGACGTATGCTGCAGCGGGAGGGG